AGAAACTAATCAGTGTTTTTATACATAAATATTTCTTCATCAAAAAAGGTGACACATATTAGAGTGGGGGGCTTGTTTGAGAGGAGGGTTAATCAGGGATTAATTTATGTATAGCCTCCCATTCAAAAAGAATTTAACCTTTTAAATTTTGAATGTAAAATATTCTGACATACTGTGATGTACTTGTTGTTCTGTTGTTCTGTCACATGAGGGGGGGGGGGGGGAGATTTGAAATTTTTAATGGCCTGGGTGTGGGCCATTGGTATAAAATTTTTGATTCTAAAAAAATTCATTGATTGCTAGATTGCAGTAGAACAGCTAGTACATAATTTCACTGCATATTAATTTATGATTAAGATGTTTATATATATATATATATATATATATATATATATATATATATATATATATATATATATATATATATATATATATACTGTAGTATATAAAGATTGAGCTAAAGCTCACATGAAATTACAATCTTGTTTAGATGGATGCAGTTGCAATCACAAATGCTTCTGATGAGCTTTTAAAAGAAATGGGCCTCGCAAAGGCAGGAGATCGTCTAAGTTTAAAAGGTTTCTGTGCTCATCAAGAAGATGAAAGCAGTTCACTGGAAGGAAATAAGCATAGAAAAAGAGCATTGCCAGAGGCATTCCTTTCCAGAAAGAAGGAAAAAAATAAATAAAAAAACAGTAAAAAACAGTCTAAAAACAGTACTTCTTCAATAAAAGAGCCACTAAAACCAAAATTCAAAATGGTTTACCTTGGATGGAAACATTTCAAGGAACAGGAGAAAGCTTACACACTTGTGCCTCTGGTCAAAGGAGGAGGAAGTCGAGTGATAGAAATGCCATTAACTAGTTGTAAGACGGACATATACCAAACTTGTAAGAATTTTTTTTTTCCTGATGGGAATTCTATATTTGGAAATGAGGATGATATGCTGTTTAGTCTGACTAACTTTAAAGGTGAGAAGGTTGAATAGTCTATTAAAGCTGGAAGAGAATATATACCATTTAACTTGTGTAACTACATGGAAGCACGCAAAATTAGAACTGTTAGACTGTATTTACAATCCAGGAAGATTGATGGCAGTGATGATGACGATGATCTCTTATCCAGTGCATTTGATCATGACCTTAATCAAGAAGGCTCACTGATTGGCCCCCACCTTGAGAGGCAGTCTCTTGTATCCCGTAATCAAGAAAGCTCGCTGATCAACTCCACCTTGGATATGCAGTCTCTTGTGTCCCAAAATCAAGAAAGCTCACTGATTGGCTCCACCCTCGAGAGGCAGTCTCTTGCATCAGAACAAGACAAGGAGTATCAAAAGTCGCTGAAAGTAGATGAATGAAAAGCTGTCTCACGTGAAAGAGAGAACGAAGAATCAAAGCGCAAAAAGAGAATTCAGAATGCTAGAGCAGATAGAGTGGTTCCCGAGCCTGATGATGTGTTTGTAACTGTCAAGGTCAGGCATATCACAATCGGTTTGCAATCTAGAAAGTTTCCAAAAACCTCTCGCATGGCAGCTGTGTATGACTGGGCTGGTTCCCTCAGCCCAGATCCAGAGAACTTTACAATCTATCATTTGGGGTGGTGCAAAAACCAACTGAAGAATTATCTGACAGGTGTACCTATTTAATGGTTGAAGAAGAGCATGGAACCCCAGGACTGTTAGAATCGGATGATGAAGTGCAGTTTTGGGGATTTGGAACTGTTAGTAAAAACAATAACGAGCCTCTGCCTGAGTAAGTATTAATGTATCATAGTTATACCTGAATGTATTTTTAGTAATCTGGCTTACAAAACATAAAAAAGAACCGTGGTCATGTTCGCACCGAATTAAATTCACGTAAAGTATATTTCAGAATTTTTAATTAAGCAGGCAGTATATTTCAATACAAGTATATTTCAGAATTTTTAATTAAGCAGGCAGTATATTTCAAGACAAGTATATTTCAGAATTTTTAATTAAGCAGGCAGTATATTTCAAGACATATCACATGTATATCTCCCGGCTTCACCATTCATATATACAGATTACAGAATGCATGCAATGCATGGATTGTATTGAGATCAGTCAAGCTAGCAACATAATTTTCTCGACTTACACAACGTATTAAAATTACTTCGCCAATGGCATTCCTAAGTAACTCGATCATTTTTTAAGCAATTTAAAACAATCGCAGTTCGTTTTTAATCAGACCGCCTTGTATCTTTATATCTGATAAAACACTGTTTCTCTTGTTTCAAATAGTACACCGAAATGTGCCGAAGCTTTGATCGCTGAAAGTATGTGGTCGGCAGTCAATCAGGATGCTCAAAGTCCACTTTTCCATACTGAAATTACACTAAAATAAGATACTGTATTTACTAAACCTACTCGTCGAAAGTCGTCAAAGCAATAATTTAGTAAAATATTGCTATAAATTTCATGGTTGTTTTTGTACTGTGTATAGTTTCATGATAATGAAATTTATTTTCAATAGCTTAGTGCACAATAAAGTTAAAGTTTATGTAAATCAAGTAGAATCTTTATCACATATAATATATCTTTGAGCAATCTGATTGGCCAATGAAACAGGAAGTTAGCAACATTTTAAGGAACTGATAAAATTGTTGAGGAATTAACCTGCGTGGCAGGCCCTCAGAGGATTCCTCCCCCGTGCCCGCCAGAATTCTGCCCGTTGCAAATCAGGCCCCCATAATAGTGAGGGTCTGCCACGCAGGCTATTGAGGAATTGTACAGAGGTGTTGCTTCAAGTTAGGAAATGAATTGGTCAACATTTTTCGGAACGCTTCTATTGGCACAATCTCGTTCCCAGAGTATGCCTGTTCGCGGGTTATGTAGTGGCATGATTACATAACCCACGAACAGGCATACTCTGGGAACGAGATTGCTATTGGCACAACTGTAATGAGTTTTTGAAGTATATTTAAAGTTCATATCTCGTTTGATATTTATTTAAAACATTTTATATGAACAACAGTTCCACCGTTGTAGTCAGTGTAATAAATTTTATGAAAATTTGTAAGTTTGATTGTAATACTAAGGATAAGCTACGTTTAGTAAGATTTTATCCTAATAGCTAGTGACTTTTGTTTAAAATGGGAAGCGAGATTGTTAATAATAAGTGTTGATGTAATAAAACCATGTTTAATTTGGCGACTCAGGAGATATCATTAATTTTGCCTTATTTTCACCGATCACAGCCTCGCAAACTTTAGCCCTATATTTTATAACTCCTTTGATTTTCTATTAAAATTGCTTAATTAAAGGGTAGTGTTGAGCTTTGGTTTCAGCGTTTGTACTTGTTGCATGTTTCAAACATTAGATGAATCAGAGGAAATAGTGGTAAGGGTAACAGGAAGAAATTAACAACATATTTCTATGGACAGTTTTAGTTTGAATTACCCAGAGGATGAAGATGTACAGGAAGTGGACAGCTGCTTAGACCATTATTATGCCTCCATTCTGAAGGATGGTGATTCAACTGCCCTTTGTTATGAAGAACAGGACAGCATCACATTTAATGGTGACAATAATGAGATTTTTCGCGACTACAAAACAACAGCAGAGGACGTTCGTGCACAACCTGGTGTCCCAAAGAAAGAACTGCACAAACTTCTTGACGGTTTGGCAAAGGAAATCGACTACACATCCATATCTAAATTCAAAATTTCTCGAAGTTTTGTATGGGAAGGAGCAAAAAGAGCTCTAACGCGAAAGTCATTTTGTGCAAAAAACAAGATGTCTGTAAAATTTACAGATGACATCGGCAACAGCGAGGGAGCCGTTGACTTGGGTGGACCTATGAAGGAATTTTCGCACTAGTTTTGCAGTGGATGATCACTTCCCAGTTATTTTGTGGCCCTGAACATCACAAATACATCTCTTTCCAATCCACTTGCCTCGAAGGTAACGATTATTTTTTCGCTGGTACCCTCAGAGCAATGTCCTTAGTGCAAGGTGGCGCTGGACCGCAGTGTTTTGCCCATAACATGTTTGAAGCTCTTCACCGCGCTCCTGAAAAAGTTGCCATTACAATTGAAGATGTGTATGTCAGGGAATTACAGTCATTACTTGAAAAGCTAAGTAATTCGGTTAGTGAAGAAGAGGCGATCCAAGTTATGAATGGCAGCACTTTGTAGGGCGTTCTTGATCTTGCTGGGATGCTTCAACCGATCCAGACTACAGACGACATAAGGAAGATTGCCGAAAAGACAGCAAGGTGGTTTGTCCTTGGACGTGCCCGACCAGCATTGGAAAGTTTCCTAAATGGTTTGTCAACGCTTGGGGTCCTTGATGCACTCACACAGAATCCTGATGTTTTTCGTCCAGCGTTTTGCTATTATCCCGAAAAGCTTACAGCTGAAAGCACTGAAAACCTGTTCCAGGTGTTCCAAAGTCCAGTTGGATCAAACAAAGCAGTAACAGAAAGCTTGTTCTATCACGATGGCATGATTATCTACAGGATATTGAAGAAGGTGAAGATTCCCTTACCTTTAATGACATTTTGTTCTTTTCAACAGCATGTAAAGTCCTTCTCGCTCGGAATATTTATCCCACCATTCAATTTCTACATCATCCTGAAGCATGTGGTGAAAAGTCGAGGTTCCCCAAGGCAAAAACATGCTCAAATATATTATATCTTCCTGTAGTGCACACTACATATGAAGCCTTTGTAGCTGACATGACCTTTGGTATTCAAAATGGACGAGGCTTTGGTATTGCATGATTAAACTGTGATTCTCCATACTTGGTGACTTGCAATAAATTTCGTGTAACAGACACTGAAGTCCGCAATGTTTTTGCAGGGTTTATTTACATAATTGTTGCGTTGTATGAGTGCATGTATTTATATTTTAATGTTGTATAGCATCAGATCTATATTTTATTGTAATTAATGGACAACTTGCATGTTAGACTAAATTTTAATCTAAGTAAAGATAAGGTAATAAAACACAACAGTTAAAAAGAAAATAATGAAATTAGTAAAATTGCAAAATTTGGTTGCGAAATGTTGTAAAATGCAGAAAATATAGCCTTGCGAAGTTTGCATATTTTCAGTATATTTGTATTACGTGCGGAAATTGTTACCATTTTCGGTTCAAAAATGGTAACAATTTCCGCACGTAATACAAATATACTGAAAATATGCAAACTTCGCAAGGCTATATAGTTTCTAAATTTTACAACATTTCACAACCAAATTTTGAAATTTTACTTATTTTAATAAGTTCTTTTCGGGAATTTACTTTTTTTGGCCTAAATAAAAAATTAGTCTAACATGCAAGTTCACAAGTTGTCTATTGCTATATTTGACAGCCTTTGCTACTGTAGAATGGACTGGTAAACTTTAGTCAGAGTAGTATCGTTTATCTAAGCAAGTATTGATATTTATTTTAAACAACAAGATATATGTATATGATTATGTATCAATGTTTGTTAACTATTAAAAAGTTATTAATGTAGTAACGATTTGTAAAGTATATACATGACTGCAGGATTTACGTTTTGCAGTGCCCTTGGCCAAAGTCTACCAGCGAGGTGTGTTCGGGGTAGGGATCTTCATTTAACAAGTATAACAAGTTAACAAATTACTCGTCACTATTGTACCGTTTAAAATTAAACATCATATAATTATATATGCAGTAGCAAACTGTGACAATTCTTGACAAACAAAGAATAATGTATAG